ATTGTGGATTACAGCCATGTGCCTGTAATCCCAGCTACTCAGGAGGCTGACGCAGGAGAAATGCTTGAACCCAGGAGACGGAGGTTGCAGTGAGCCAAGATCACGCCACTGCACTCCAGCCTGGGTGATAGAGCAAGACACCATCTCAAAAAAAAAAAAAAAAAAAATTAGCAGGGCATGGTAGCATGTACCTGTAGTCCCAGCTCTGTCTCTTATACACATCTAGATGTGTATAAGAGACGAGCTAAGACCACATCACTGTACTCCAGCCTGGGTGATAGAGCAAGACACCATCTCAAAAAAAAAAAAAAAAAAATGTGAATTCAGCTTTCCGCACAATCAAACTGCTCTGGTACTTCAACGAAACAGATTATTTGTTTGTATTCTGGATTCCTGAGCCCGCACACACTGTTAAATTAATTGCAGTCTAGTTTCTGCCAAAAGTAGCTGTGACAATGGATATTTATGGAGGCAAGCCAATGGTTCTCACAGTTGGCTGGGCATCAGAATAGCTTATAGAGCTTGTTAAACATAAATGTCAAGCCCTTCCCAACTGAATCAGAATTGTTTATGGTAAAACTTGACCATCTACACTTTTAGCAAGCTCTGTTGGAATTCTGATGTCCAGCCGGGTTTGAGAATCAGTGCTCAGGGCTTGTCAATCATACATTCCCTTAGTGTTTTCTAAATAACAGCTTTATTGATATATGTCACATACAATAAAATTCACTTATTTTTTTGGAGACAGAGTCATACACTGTTGCCCAGGTGTCATTCACTGCAGCCTCAACCTCCTAGGCTCAAGCCATCCTCCCACCTCAGTCTCCTGAGAAGCTGGGACTACAGGTGCAAGCCACCAAGCCCAGCTGATTTCTTAATTTTTTTGTAGAGATGGGGTCTCACTACGTTGCTCAGGCTGGTCTTGAACTCCGTCTCAAAAAAGAAAAAAAAAAGGGTCCTTTAAAAAAAAAATTTTTCTTTGATAAGAAGTGCCCTTTTAGGCCGGACACGGTGGCTCACTCCTGTAATTTCAGCACTTTGGGAGGCCAAGGTGGGAGGATCACCTGAGGTCGGGAGTTTGAGACCAGCCTGACCAACATGGAGAAACCCTGTCTCTACCAAAAATACAAAATTAGCCAGGCATGGTGGCGCATGCCTATAATCCCAGCTACTCGGGAGGCTGAGGTAGGGGAATTGCCTGAACCTGAGAAGCAGAGGTTGCGGTGAGCTGAGATCACGCCATTGCACTCCAGCCTGGGCAATAAGAGCAAAACTTCGTCTCAAAAAAAAAAAAAAAGGCCCTTTTTTTTGACGTGAAGTCTCACTCTCTCACCCAGGCTGAAGTGCAGTGGCGCGATCTCGGCTCACTGCAACCTCCACCTCCCAGATCAAGTGATTCTCCTGCCTCAGCCTCCAAAGTAGCTGGGATTACAGGCACGTGCCACTACACACTACTAATTTTTGTATTTTTGGTAGAGATGGGGTTTCACCATGTTGGCCAAGCTGGTCTTGAACTCCTGACCTTGTGATCCGCCCACCTCGGCCTCCCAAAGTGCTGGGATTACAGGCATGAGCCACCAGGCCCAGCCAAGAAGTTCCCTTTTTAAGGGCAAAGAAGCCACCCAGAAGAGCCCTTTACAATCCATTAGGTCAGTTAATACCCCAGCCTCAGGCCTAGAGCAAACGCTGGGGGACTGCAATGACCAAGACTGGTTTAAACTAATGAAGATTTAGCTTCTGGGACTACAGGGGGAAGAGAATGAACAAAATCCAAACTCTTTTGACAAGGAAGAGGGTAGAGGACAGATATGATTATTGGGAAGACAACCAGCAGTATTCATCATAAGCAAACTACTTATAATCTCCAAGTCTTGTTTCCTTCCCTTGTTTCCTAGAATGGGAACAGCTTTATCATGTGGTTAAATGCAATATCACATTTAAAGCACTTCACGTATGGCACACTAAACATTTATTAGGTAGTAGTTAATTTTGCCTTTATAAAATCTCTAATGAAGGTATTGTTTTCCTTAAAGGGTCATGTGATACATTTAGTGATATGAAAAAATTTTCTCCTGGTCCCTTTGAGCCAGAAATAACGTTAGTGCCAGGAAGCTCAAAGTTGGAATTTGACATTTAAGTGTAATCTGCCTTTTCCTCAGCTGATCTTTAATCTTAAACTGTTCTATTTCATTTTAAAATGTCTCAGCTATGTTTTTAGAAACAGGCAGAGGATAAGTTATCAACAAATAAGTGAAATATATTTGGGGGACCGAGATATACATACACAAATTAATCATCTGCCTTTAAATTTTTTATTATGCATATATTATTTTATAATTATATGTAACATACATACATACACACACACACATATATACCTTTGTTTGTTTTCAGTTTTGCTATGTTACCCAGGCTGGCCTCGAACTCCTAGACTTAGTTGATCCTCCTGCTTCACCCTTCCAAGTCGCTGGGACCACAGGTGCACACCACCATGCTTAGCTTCAAATGGTTTTTTTAAAAAATTGTATCTGATGTGGTGACTCAAGCCTATATAATCCCAGCACTTTGGGAGGCTGAGGCAGGATTGCTTCATTCCAGGAGTTTGAGACCAGCCTGGGCAACATAGCAAGACTCTGTCTCTACAAAAATAAAAATTAATTGGGCATGGCAGTGCATACCTATAGTCCCAGCTACTTGGGAGACTGAGGTGGGAAGATTCTTTGAACCCTGGAGGTCAAGACTGCAGTAAGCCATGATCGCACCACTGCACTCATCTTGGGGGACAGAGTGAAACCCTGTCTGGAAAAAAAAAAAAGAAGTGATAAGGCTGGGTGTGGTGGCTCACTCCTGTAATCCCAGCACTTTGGGGGCAGCGGTGTGTGGATCACCTGAAGTTGGGAGTTCGAGACCAGCCTGACCAACATGGAGAAACCCCATCTCTACTAAAAATACAAAATTATCCAGGTGTGGTGGCGCATGCCTGTAATCCCAGCTACTCAGGAGACTGAGGCAGGAGAATTGCTTGAACCCAGGAGGCAGAGGTTGCGGTGACCTGATATTGCACCATTGCACTCCAGCCTGAGCAACAAGAGTGAAACTCCATCTCAAAAAAAAAAAAAAAAAGTGATAAAACACTGTATTAGTTCGTTTTCACGCGCTGATAAAGACATACCTGAAACTGGGAACAAAAAGAGGTTTAATTGGACTTAAAGTTCCACCTGGCTGGGGAAGCCTCAGAATCTTGGCAGGAGGCAAAAGGCACTTCTTACATGAGAAGCAAGAGAAAATAAGGAAGAAACAAAATCGGAAGCCCCTGATAAACCCATCAGATCTTGTGAGACTTATTCACTATCACAGGAAAGCATGGTAAAGACCAGCCCCCTGATTCAATTACCTCCCTGTGAGTCCCTCCCACAACACATGGGAATTCTGAGAGATACAATTCAAGCTGAGATTTGGGTAGGGACACAACCAAACCATATCAAACAAAGAACATAAACATTTCCATCTTGGCCGTGCGGGGTGGCTCACACCTGTAATCCTAGCATTTTGGGAGGCTGAGCGGGGTGGATCACGAGGTCAAGAGATCAAGACCATCTGGCTAACATGGTGAAACCCCATCTCTACTAAAAATACAAAAAATTAGATGGGCGTGGTGGTGCTCGCCTGCAGTCTCGGCTACTCGGGAGGCTGAGGCAGGAGAATTGCTTTAACCCGGAAGGCGGAGGTTGCAGTGAGCCGAGATAGCGCCACTGCACTCCAGCCTAGGTGACAGAGCGAGACTCCGTCTCAAGAAAAAAAAAAAAGAAAAAGAAAAATTCCATCTTAACCATCTGTAAATGAACAGTTCATTGGCATTTAAAATATTCAAATTGTTGTACAACCATCACCATCAACCATCTCCAGAACTCTTTTCATCTTGCAAAACTGAAATTCTGGGCTAGGCGTGGTGGCTCACACCTGTAATCCCAGCACTTTGGGAGGCTGAAGTGGGCAGATCACAAGGTCAGGAGTTCGAGACTAGCCTGGACAACATGTGAAACCCTGTCTCTATTAAAAATACAAAAATTAGCTGGGCGTGGTGGCGGGCACTTGTAATCCCAAATACTCGAGAGACTGAGGCAGAAGAATCATTTGAACCCAGGAGGCGGAGGTTGCAGTGAACCAAGATCACACCATTGCACTCCAGCCGGGGTGATGGTGCGAGGCTCCATCTCAAAAAAACAAAAACAAAAACAAAACAAAAAAACTGAAATTCTGTACCCACTAAAGAATAATTTCCTGTTTTTCCCTCCCCCATCCCCTGGTAACCATTTTTACTGTCTCTATGAATTCGAGTGCTCCAGGTAACTCTTATAAAGGGAATCATACAGTATTTGTCTTTTTGTGACTGGCTGATTTCACTTAACTTTTTCAAGGTTTATCCATGTTGTAGCATGTATATGAATTTCCTTCCCTTTTAAGGCTGTATAATATTCCATTTTATGTATATGTTATGTATATGTTCAAAACAATTACCAGTGAGGATTTCCTGAAGAAGTACAGATTTCTGTCAACTTTCACCCTACATTCTATATTTCAATAGTATTAGCTGAATGATTCTGGATAATTTTATATAATCTCAAGTCTTTAGTCTTGAGAATTTAAGGGCTTTGATATTGTTTCCTAGCCTAGTATAACCAAGCAAAAGATTACTAACTCTCAAAACAAATTGAATGATACGACTTTTAATTTGGTAGACTTAACAGGCAAAGTCCCTATGAGTAGGCAAATCTGCATATTGAGTTTTTTTCCAGGTTTAGTTTTAGGTTCACTATTTCTCTCTTTGATGAACACTGCACAAAGTTATTGTATTAGAGCTCCTTAAAGAAAGAATACAAATTGTTTACAACTAGGTTTTTCATATACACAAAAAAGCACAATTATAATTTCTATCCCATTCGTAAATTAATGGCAAACCCAAAGTAACCTAATAAAGCTATTTTAACATGTGCTAAATAATTCTTTTATCTACACTCTTGTATATTGATCAAATTATTTACATGCTCTTTAAAAATCTTTTATGAATTGAAAGCTATAACTGTCTCTCTTGAAGTCTATCTGCATCACGTAAGCATTGATCAGTCTTGAGTGATTCATTCATAGCTGCCTGTCTTTGTTGAGTGGTCTTCACAAATCTCAGCAGATTGATGATGGCAGCAGGTGTTACTCCAGGTATACGACTAGCAGCCCCGATCTAAGAATCAATACCACAAGAGAAACGTAAGTGAGCTATGCTATATCAGATCAAATCTATTTTCCTCCAAATAACAATCTGTATAGTATAGTTTATACAATATTTTCTTAATTATTATTTTGATGTATTATCAATGTATTACCTCATAAAGCAGATAAAAGAAATATTACTTTGTCTTCATTTTACAAATGGGAAACTGAGGCACAGAAATGTTAAAATAGCTTGTGTAAGATCACATAACTAATAGATGTTAGAGTATCTACTTTTTCTTCCCATTAAACTAAGAAAAACTGTAATCAAGTTCCTTTCTTCAAATATAGGTCCACAGTCCCTTATTTGAAATTCCTGAGGCCAGTCTGGGCAAAATAGTGGGACTCTGTCTCTATAGAAAATAAAAAAAAATTAGGTTAGCATAGTGGTGCACACTTGTAGTACTAGCCACTCAGAAAACAAAGGTGGGAGGATAGCTTGAGCCTGGGAGGTTGAGAATGCAGTGAGCTGTGATTATGCCACTGCACTCCAGCCTGGGTGACAGAGTAAGCCCCTCTCTCAAAAAAATAAAATGAAATGAAATCCTTGAGGCCTATGTTTTTGCAATAAGATATATATAATCCTTGAGGCTGTATATAACGTAACAGCCTCAATAGTGTGTGGGGCAAGCACCCCACATTTTAAATCCTATTAATACTTCTGCAGTGTATTTTTACAGTGAAAGGTATGAATATTCACTCTAAACAGTATAAAGACCATATAGCCTCATGTGAACTGAACTCAGTTTTGCTACCAAATGAGCTTGTGCAAACTTCTGCCAGAGCCTTTTGTATTACGGAATTGTGGGTAAGGGGTTCTGAACTCCTGTGACCAGTGCTGTTCAGCTGAACTTTCTGTGATGATGGAAATCTTCTATAACATGTGCACTGCAATAATGTGGTGTCCAGTATGGTTGCCACTAGTCATATGTGGCTACTGGGCACTGGAAATGTGGCTAGTAAGACTGAAGAGCTAAATTTTACATTTTATATAATTTTTTCTTTTTCTTTTCTTTTTTTTTTTTTTTGAGACAGGGTCTCACTCTGTCACCCAGGCTGGGGTGTAGTGGTACAATCATGACTTGCTGCAGCCTCTACCTCCTGGGCTCAAGTAATCCTCCCACCTCAGCCTCCCAAGTAGCTGGGACTATAGGTGCGTGCCACTGCACCTGGCCTATTTAATTTTAATTAATGTAAATAACCACAATTGGTGAGTGGCTATCATGTTGGGCAGTGTGGCAGTGTAGCCTATGATTATCCATACAAACATGACCTGAAATCAATAGGAAAGGACAGTGTTATAAAATTTAAGGCTTATTTTCCTGGTTTCCATGATGATTGTTGCTAAGAATACCATGTTATATTAATGAAATCACTCCTCCCTGTAAAAATAGTTTTTTTCAAATTTTTCTGCAGTCTGTAATTTTGTAATATGCCCCTTTATTTTATGAACCACTACTAAAAAAAAAAAAAATGCCCATTACACTGTGACACACCATCAACTTTTGAGATATTAAAGATGCAATTGGCCAGGCGCTGTGGTTCACACCTGTAATCCCAGGACTTTGAGAGGCCAAGGCAGACGGATCATGAGGTCAGGAGATCGAGTCCATCCCGGCCAACATGGTGAAACTAAACCTGTCTCTGCTAAAAATAATTAAAAAAAAAAATTTGCCAAGTGTGGTGGCGCATGCCTGTAGTCCCAGCTACTTGGGAGGCTGAGGTAGGGGAATCGCTTGAACCCAGAAGGCAGAGGTTGCAGTGAGCCGAGATTGTTCTACTGCACTCCAGCTTGGTGACAGAGTGAGACTCCATTTCAAAAAAAAAAGATGCAATTTTAGGGATGTTAAAATGTGGAGAAAAGTGTATCTCAGAATCAGTAAGTAAAGTTTATCAGTCTTTAAACATTTATTAGAAGCCCAATACTAATTACTATATAGTAAATTAAAGGTTTATCTGTTTACACAAAGGAACATGCATACACCCTTTCACAATCAGTCTGAAGCATGTGGTGGGGGCACTCTTTGGCTCCCCTCTTTCTCCCATTAGTTCCCAAGGCAACACTATGGAACTCCTAGGAAGGACTCCAAGTAGTGACTTGAAAACCACTAATATGAGTTATATTTTAACCTAGTATTGTTTCCTTTAAACCATACATGTGTACTATCTTGCATAGTTTGCACTGATGCTTTATCACGTGGTTGGGACTAGAGAATAGTTCCAATCAAACCAATTATTGACTTCCAGTTATTTAATTAAAGTTAAGCTTTATCATCTCTCATACAGACATACCAATATCTGTCTTAGAAACATAAGAAATGTTTCTTATGTTCTTAGAAACATAAGAAAAAAATTTGAGGTCAAGTTTCTTTTTTTTTTTTTTTGAGACAGGGTCTTGCTCTGTTGCCCAGGCTGGAGTGCAGTGGTGTGATCATGGCTCACTGCAGCCTCAGTGTCTTGGGCTCAGGTATCCTCCACCTCAGCCTCCCGAGTAGCTGGCACTGCAGGTGCATGCCACCATGCCCAGCTAATTTTTGTATTTTTGTACAGATGGGGTCTTGCTGTGTTACCCAGGCTAGAAGTTTCTTATTATTAAATAAAACGTTATATAGCCATTGTAACCCCAGGTTTAAAAAAATTAAAAAAGCACTGCATCTTTATCTATAACTTGTTTCTATTCCCCTGCCTATTTTTCTTACCGTCTGCGGACGACTAAAATGTAGTTTCTCTCGAACTTCATGGGACAAAGACACATCCCTGATAGTCAAATAATCTATGTCTTTTGGCAGTTGGAGAGCTTCATCTTGCTGAACTCCCTTTATTTCTTGTAGCTGATGGAACAACACTGATTCATAAGTGGCTGGTGAACAAAATCAGAATCATGTTATAATACCCAGATTATATTATACTAACAACTTACATTTATGTAGCCTCTTGCAATTTATAAAAAGCTTTTGTGTACATCATCTCATTCAACATTCACTTCATGAGATGGGTTGGGTAGGTGTTCCCTTTTACATAGGAGGAAACTGAAGCCAAGATAAATGGAGTGTCTTGCATATTAACTACAACATTCTGTCTAGTAGTTTAGTGCATGTCCTTTTCAAATATCTGGAAAACTAAAAGTAAAAAAAAAGAATTTGTGGCCAGGCGTGGTGGCTTACACCTGTAATACTAACACTTTTGGAGGCTGAGGCGGGCGGACTGTCTGAGCTCAGGAGATCGAGACTAGCATGGGGAACATGGTGAAACGCCATCTCTACTAAAAATACAAAAAAATTAGCTGGGCGTGGTGGCATCCACATGTAATCCCAGCTACTCGGGAGGCTAAGACAGGAGAATCGCTTGAACCCAGGAGGTGGAGAGTGCAGTGAGCCGATATAGCGCTATTGCACTCCAGCCTGGGCAAGGGAGCGAGACTCTGTCTCAGAAAAAAAAAAGAAAAAGAAAGAAGAAAAGGCTCACTGCAACCTCCGCCTCCTGGGTGCAAGCAATTCTCCTGCCTCAGCCTCCCGAGTAGCTGGAATTATAGGTGCCCGCCACCATGCCCGGCTAATTTTTTTGTATTTTTAGTAGAGATGGGGTTTCACCATGTTGGCCAGGTTAGTCTCGAACTCCTGACCTCAGATGATCTGCCCACCTCAGCCTCCCAAAGTGCTGGGATTACAGGCGTGAGCCACTACGCTCAGTTTCAGTATTTTCATAATAAAAAAATTTCATTATGGAAAACTTTAAAAAATGCAGAGCAACTACCAAAGACACCTGTGGCTTTGATGGTCTATAAACTGACAAAGAGTATTGATACAAAGTAAGTCTTTGTCAATGGTAAAGTATTTCAATATACTGTCAAAGCCAAAGATAGTATTATTTTTCTCATTATTAAAACATTAGGTGGGGAGAGTATAAAAAGGAAGTTCAGAGTTAAAATATATATATATAAATATATACGCTGGGTACAGTGGCTCACACCTGTAATCCCAGCACTTTGGGAGGCCGAGGCAGGCGGATCACCTGAGGTCAGGAGTTTGAGACCAGCCTGGCCAATGTGATGAAACCCTGTCTCTACTAAAAATACAAAAATTTGCTGGGCCCGGTGGTGGGGCCCTGGTGGCAGATGCCTGTAATCTTAGCTACTTGGGAGGCTGAGGCAGGAGACTTGCTTGAGCCTGGGAGGTGCAGGTTGCAGTGAGCCAAGATCGCACTATTGCACTCCAGCCTGGGCAACAAGAGTGAAACTCCGTCTCAAAAAAAAAAAAAACAAAAAAACAAAAAAAACCACACACACACACACATATATATACATATTCATATATATGCACATTTCAAATAAGTGGTACTATGGAGCCCTCCTATAAAAAATATTCATTTTTGGCCAAGCACAGTGGCTCACGCCCGTAATCCCTGTACTTTGGGAGGCTGAGGCGGACGGATCACCTGAGGCCAGGAGTTCCAGACCGGCCTGGCCAACATGGTGAAACCCCGTGACCACTAAAAATACAAAAAATTAGCCAGGCGTGGTGGTGCATGCCTGTAATCCCAGCTACTAAGGAGGCTGAGAAAGGAGAATCGCTTGAGGTTGCAATAAGCCAAGATCATGCCACTGCACTCCAGCCTAGGCAACAAGAAGGAAACTCCATCTCAAAAAAAAAAAAAAAAATACACACACACACACATATATACATTTATTTTTAGGAGGACTCTACAGTACCACTTATTTGAAAGGTGCACATAGATCACCTGAAAAGCATGTTTAAATATAGATTCTCAGTGGGTCTGAGGTGAAGCCTGAGAGTCTGTATTTCCTTTTTTTTTTTTTTTTTGGAGACGGAGTCTGGCTCTGTCACCCAGGCTGGAGTGCAGTGGCACAATCTTGGCTCACTGCAAGTTCCGCCTCCTGGGTTCACGTCATTCTCCTGACTCAGCCTTCCGAGTAGCTGGCACTACAGGCACCTGCCATCACGCTGGCTAATTTTTCTATTTTTAGTAGAGACGGGGTTTCACCGTGTTAGCCAGGATCCTCCAGATCTGATGTTGTGATCCACCCGCCTTGGCCTCCCAAAGTGCTGGGATTACAGATGTGAGCCACCATGCCTAGCCAAGATTCTGTATTTCTAACAAGCTTGCAGGTATTGCAATGCTGTTAGCTCAGGACCACACTTTTGAAGAGCACAGAAGTTAACACTATGCTGGTTCAACAGTAATAATGGATCTGTTGTCTATTCTTAATTTGCACAAATGATAAAGGTATGTTAAGTCAAAAATTATTTTCTACCTTCTATTTTCAGTCTTTCAGCCAGCTCTCTACATTTAGTATACTTCTTCAAGGGCTCTGGAACAGCCTTGGCTAATGAATCCATGTCAACTTCCTCATACTTCAGAACATCAAGAGCTCTGCAAATATACGAAAGTTTCATTAACATAAGGATCCATGTCATATAAGGCAGATCAAGAAAAAGATTCTTTGAAATAATACCAAATCTCGGAATAAATACCAAAAGATTATTTCTCTTTTTTTTTCTTTTTGAGATGGAATCTTGCTCTCTCGCCCAGACTGGAGTGCAGTGGTACAATCTTGGCTCACTGCAATCTCCACCTGCTGGGTTCGAGCAATTCTCCTGCCTCAGCCTCCCTAGTAGCTGGGACTACAGGCATGCGTCACCATGCCCGGCTAATTTTTTGTATTTTTAGTAGAGGCGGGGTTTCACCATGTTGGCCAGGCTGGTCTCGAACTCCTGACCTCGTGATCCACCTGCCTCAGCCTCCCAAAGTGCTGGGATTACAGGCATGAGCCACTGCACGTGGCCCCAGAAGATTATTTCTAATAATGCAGCAACATTTGCTAAATAGTAGGACCTCAATAAGACATATTATTTGATTCTCCCCAACTCCTTATCAGGAGAATTAAGTTGCTGGTAAGGGTGGCATGGCTGTAATCCATTTGTCTTTCCTTTCATATAGAATATCATCTCATAACAAAGGTTTCACTGAATTCCCTAAGCATTGGAATGTACTTTACATCTAAGCCATGTTAAGTCCTACAGTCCTGTGAATTAGTCATCCTTTTGCATGCTAGGAACCATGACAGGGATCTCCTGCTTTCTTTTACAGAACTCCCTAAGGAAGAACAAGAGGCCATTATGAGCATGTTTTAAGTCTCTGCAAAATAAACTGATAAAAATGATATAGGGGTTCGTAAGTCTTTTTCTTTTCTTTCTTTTTTTTTTTTTTTTTGTAGAGACAGGGTTTTGTCATGTTGCCCAGGCAATCTGCCTACCTCGGCCTCCCAAAGTGCCAGGATTACATGAGTGGGCTACTGTGCTTGGCTGGTTCATAAATATTCTGTCTGATATATATATTTTTTCTCCTAATTTGGTATAATCTACATGTCAACTTTTACCACATGGAAATTTTTGATAGTCACTTCTCAGTTCTACTTCTACCACCCACTCTGGATGGGCTAAAGCCTCCATGGCCAATGCCTTACCTTTCCTTGGGAGAGGAGAGCAATGTATGCAGATACTGGGGATAATTACTAAAATTCCCAGGCAACTTACCTAGGCCAACAAAAGAACATGCCTAAGTATTAATGTACATAGATCCAGTGAGATTTCCAATAACTTAATTCATTGGCACTTGTTGAGATCAAACCAGTGAGCAAAACTTCAGCTATGTTTAGTCTTCAGAAGTGCTGGTGCTCCTATGACCACTTTAATCCCTTTTATACTGATCTCAGGTCTCCCCTCTTGATATTACAAAGCCCCCAACCCCAACTTGACCCAGACCCTCTCCTAAAATGGACCTAGCTAGGTCACTTATTGCTCTGTTAATTATTACTTACTTCACTTACACATGCCTTTATTTTGTTGTAATTTATTTAAAAGGTTATTGCCATGGCATTTTTTTTTTTTTTTTTAAGAAATAGAAAATTTCATCCTAAAATTTACATGGAATCACAAGGGACCCCAAATAATCAGAACAATTTTGAAAAAAGAACATGGTTAGAGGCCTTACACTTCCTGATTTCAAACATATTACAAAGCTACTGTAATTAAAACAGCATGGTACTGGCACAAAGACAGATATATAGACCAGTGGAATAGAAAACCCAGAAATAGAAAATTGGCTAGCCATA